TGTCTACGGACCGACAAAGGTCTCTTCGATTGGAGGTTCCCGGTACTATGTTACATTCATTGATGACTCTACACGGAAGGTATGGGTTTATTTTCTTAAGAATAAATCCGATGTCTTTAACACTTTTAAGAAGTTCAAAGCTGCTGTTGAGAATGAAACAAATCTTAAGATTAAGTGTTTAAAGAGTGATAATGGGGGTGAGTACAGTAGCACAGAGTTTGTAGAGTATTGTGCTGAACAGGGGATCAGAATGCTGAAGACGGTTCCAGAAACACCACAGCAAAATGGTGTTGCAGAGAGGATGAACAGAACACTGAATGAGAGGGCCAGGAGCATGAGATTGCATGCAGGACTTCCAAAGATGTTCTGGGCCGATGCGGTGAACACAGCAGCATACTTGATCAACAGAGGACCCTCATCTCCCATAGGTTTCAAAATTCCAGAAGAGGAATGGAAAGGTCGAGAGGTATCTCTTACTCACTTGAAAGTTTTTGGTTGTATTTCTTATGTCAAAGTTAGAGATGCAGATAGTGACAAGCTCGAGGCAAAGGCAAAGAAGTGTATCTTTATTGGGTACGGGATGGATGACATGGGCTACAGGTTCTGGGACAACCACAGCAAGAAGGTTATCAGAAGTAGAGATGTCACTTTCAACGAGAATGCTCTGTATAAAGATGGTCTTGCAGCAGAAACTAGCAAAGCCAAGCAACCAGAAAACAAGCAAAAAGTGGTGTTTGACGGGATGACTGAAGATGACATAGCACAACCTGTTGGTTGTGATGAGACAACAGGAGGTTCAGGGAGCAGTGGGAGCTCAGGAGATACAGGAATGTCTGAAGATAGTGGGAGTGATGAAGATGGTGAAAATTCAGAGGCAGCTACTCCTCAAGTCAGACAGTCCACCAGAATCAGAAGACCTCCTAACAGATATTCTCCTTCAGCAAATTATTTGTTGCTGACCGAGAATGGAGAACCAGAATCTTACTCAGAGGCACTGACCGTGAAGGATTCCATACAGTGGAAGAAGGCCATGGAGGATGAGTTAGATTCGCTTGAGAAGAACCAAACTTGGTCCTTAGTCAAGCTACCACCGGGAAAGAAAGCTTTGGAGAACAAGTGGGTGTTCAGAATCAAAGATGAAGCTGATGGGAGCAAAAGATACAAGGCGAGGCTAGTTGTCAAGGGGTTCCAACAGAAGAAGGGGGTTGATTACAATGAAATCTTCTCTCCGGTTGTGAAGATGACTACTATCAGGTTGATCCTTGGTATCGTTGCTGCTGAAAATTTGCATTTGGAGCAGCTGGATGTGAAGACTGCTTTTCTTCATGGTGACCTTGAAGAAGACATTTACATGGCCCAACCAGCAGGTTTCCCAGTGAGTGGTAAAGAGAAGATGGTGTGCAAACTCAAGAAGAGTCTATACGGGCTGAAGCAAGCTCCTAGACAGTGGTACTTGAAGTTTGACAGTTTTATGCAGCGGAATGGGTACACTAGATGCAAGATGGACCATTGCTGTTACTTGAAGAAATTCGAGTCTTCATACATTATTCTTCTTTTGTATGTTGATGACATGTTGGTGGCTGGAGCAAACATGCAGGAGATCAACAAGCTCAAGAAGAAGTTGTCTGAAGAATTTGAGATGAAGGATTTAGGGGAGGCGAGACAGATTCTTGGGATGAGCATACTCAGAGACAAGGTGGAAGGTACTTTAAAGCTTTCACAGCAGAAGTACATTCAGAAGGTCCTTGAGAAGTTCAGAATGACGGATGCCAAGCCAAGGAGTACACCGTTAGGGAGTCAGTTGAAACTCTCCAAGCAGCAGTCTCCAAAGACCAATGAAGACAAAGATGAGATGGCTAAAGTTCCTTATGCATCAGCCGTTGGCAGCTTGATGTACGCAATGGTGTCAACAAGGCCGGACATTGCTCATGCAGTGGGAGTTGTTAGCAGGTTCATGTCAAATCCAGGGAAGGAACATTGGGAAGGAGTTAAGTGGCTGTTACGCTACTTGAAAGGTACTTCTGAAATTGCTCTTTGTTTCAGGAGGAATGGAGCAATTCTAGAAGGTTTTGCAGATGCTGATTTGGGGGGCTGTCATGATTCCGGGAAGAGCACTACGGGTTACATATTCACTATTGGAGGTACGGCAATCAGTTGGATGTCCAGATTACAGAAGAGTGTAGCTCTTTCAACCACAGAAGCAGAGTATATGGCTATTGCTGAAGCGGCCAAGGAGATGATTTGGTTGAAGAACTTTCTCTCGGAGTTGGGCATGAAACAGGGGGATTGTGGTCTGTACTGTGACAACCAGAGTGCTATTCATCTCGCGAAGAATCCGGTGTTTCACAGCAGAACGAAACACATCAAGATGAGGTATCATTTCATTCGAGAATTGATTGAAGATGGTACTATAAATTTGAAGAAGATCCTTGGTACGAAGAATCCAGCAGACATGCTTACCAAGGCGGTGACAACGGAGAAGTTGAAGCTATGCATGGCTTCAACGGGCCTTCCAGATACTTGATGAGAAGGCGCGGACGAGAGAGAAAGAGAAAAAGAGAGAGAAATCAGGGGTTTTACAGAAGATACATGTTCTTGGATGGCAGATAATTGTTGACCAAGCCTCCAAGTGGGAGATTGTTGAAGATGGAGTCTTGTTCTTAGGTTCAGAGCAGATACCCGACCGGGTATGGTCAGCCACCCGACCGGGTATGTTAAAGCAGAGACCGGGGGATCTCACTGGATGTGAGACCCGACCGGGTCAGGGAAGGGACCCGACCGGGTCAGCAAGGCAGAAGCCTTCTGTGTTGGAAACCCGACCTGGTTTCCACCGGGTTTGTGTTCTGTGAAGGAGACCCGACCGGGTCAAATAAGAGACCCGACCGGGTCAGGCGACGGGAATTTTAAAAACAGGCTTAATTTTGGGCCTGCGGCTCTAATCTCAGTTTAGGTTTTCCTAAACCTATTTAAACGACTCTTATGTACTTGTAAACCTCTTGGGGGACGCTGATAATAATACATACTCTCTCTCGTTCGCCGTGGACTAGCGTAATCACCCCGATTGCGTGAACCACGTTAATTCTTGTGTTCTTGCTCTTAATTTATCGTTTATCTTTGCCTAATCGTAACAGATGTTTCTTGCTATATACATTGGGGTGCCCTCACGTCTGCCCTGGGGTTTGGTTAGGAAAACTGTGGCGGGTTTCAAAGCGGTCGTGTTGTGGCGGCTCTGGCGGAGCAATGAAGGACGTTTTCGTCACAAAAAACAGATACACTACATGATGTCTATAGCCTGAAAAGTGATTTTTTTTTGCAAAAAATCAATTGGTACACATTTTTCATACACACACCTACACACTCATGTTTGTGAAGAGTATTTTTTTGTCTGTATACAAACATAACGTATTAGAAAATGTGTTATGTCTGTATACAGACAAAAAAATACTCTTCACAAACATGAATGTTTACCTCAAGCTGAATTGTTTTTTTGTGGGTCTTGAGGAATGGAATAGCTACATGTAGGCTGGTTGGGTTTCAAGAGTTGGGAGGAAAGGACATTTTCTCCACACACAAAACTGGAGGCTTTTTGTTAAAAATAGGCAATGTTCTTTCAAAAAAGTTTTTTTATAGTGGTGGATTTTAGCGTGTGAGTTGAGACCAAACCATGCATTTCCAGGATAGATAAGGAGATCGAACAAACAAGACGCTGATGAGAGAGATTATGATAATCAGCGTAGGACAGTAAGGTCAAAAGCTCGTCGTCATAATGCCTGAATCTTAGTAATGTTTATGTTCATATCTTCGAGAGAAGCTGTACAACTACTGATCTCTCATTTTATAATAGTAAAATTAATGATAATAAAAACATATATTCATTTTGTAATATTGTGGAGAGATTAAAATCTGGGATTCTGATTTCTGGATGGCCGAGTAACTACTTACTGGTACGGAGTACATGTATTTGAGCGGTAAACTGGCATGCTGTTAAGTTTACTTAAGATTTAAGAAGAATATACAAAAGGTAGTTTTCCTCTTTTAAATGGTAGCATCTCTTAACTAAACCAGTGTTTGGTAGTATTGTGTTTTGGTTGTTATAATTACCTCAAGCTCCAATTATGTTATGCTTTTAGTAAATCTAGTTAGAGATTATAATACGCTCTTATTAAAAAATGGCTGATAGAGTGATAGGCCATTAACCAAACACCCTGTTGCCTTCTTGTTTCATGCCATAAATGTGAAAAGCCGGATGATATGTCGTAGGGAGAATTTGACCTTGCATTCCATTTTTAGTGATATTTGACTTTGCACCTATTTTCAAAATCATGAATGTATGCAGCTCAATTCACTATAAAATCTTTTGACTTTGCACCTCACTCTTTCACACTTTTTGGATTGATAGAGTGCACGCATTAATGATTTTGAAATCGGGTGCAATGTCCAATATCACCCGCAACATTGGGTGTAAAGTCAAATCTGCGGATTCATCTATGGGAGTTTCGTGATAAGCATTGAAGGTACAAGTATTGACAATTTGACAGTGTGAAAACATGACTTGCTATATTCAAACAGAATATAGTCAGCCTAGTACTTCTTGTAATTATAAACCTAGTTATACATTTTCTTCTCCATACATAATGCAGTCCAGGTTCACCGGAAAATGAAATTCATGCATAGCTAGGGAATAGGGATGGAGTTGGATGGAACTTGCAATAATTGTTATAAGCAAAGATTACTTAAGAGTCACAGTCAACCAACTGCCTTATAATGGCATTAAACCAAAACCTCTTTTGACTATATATGCTTTTACTGATGGTAAGTCTAATTTAAATCCAAGCTTCCTTGACTTGGTCACTTGTTGACGAATTACATGATGCAAATAATTAAAAATCTTGACCAACTCTAATTCAAAACTCTATCCAATTTTCAAGGTTGAACTTTTGCTGTTTAGCACACTATGCAACTAATATACGAAGTATATATACTGAATTGCTCCTCCCACATTTTCATCAAAGAAAGCCGACCATAAAGTGCATGCAGTACGATTACATTAACTGATAACTCCTTTCCTGTTTTGAAGAACATAGTAAAAACAACAATGGTTGGATCAAAGAGAAGTTCCTTATTTGTGCTGATCACTATTACTCTTGCTCTTCTTGGCATGGCACGGCTTTGCCTGTGTAGCAAACTCAGCTATGGGTATGAGCCCGCGGGTTACTTATATCCGCAGTACTACGAGCGGTCGTGCCCAAGAGCACATGAGATCGTCAAGAATGAGGTTGCCAAGGCCGTTGCTAAAGAAGCGCGCATGGCCGCTTCTTTGTTGAGGCTCGTCTTCCACGACTGTTTTGTCCAGGTAGCCCAAATCTCTTTGCAAATACTTCCGTTTTCGCGTTCGCAAGTCATATGACAAATGTTAAGATTCGAGGTTCCATCCTAAAAGATCAACATTAGGAGAAGTATACCTTAAAATCTTAATATAACACTTCATTACTTCATATTTTACCAGTGTATGACTTCAACAAGACAACAACAAAGTATTAGATCGTAACAACAATTATCAATAATGACATTTAAGAGAAGAGATTTATAATTCCCCCAAACCCCAACTTACTAATTATGCAGGGGTGTGATGCATCACTACTACTAGACAGCAGTAGAGGCATAACAAGTGAGAAGAATTCTAACCCCAACTTAAACTCAGCTCGGGGTTTTAATGTGATTGATGATATCAAAAGTGCCTTGGAGAAGGAGTGCCCTCAAACGGTCTCTTGCGCTGATATTCTTCAACTTGCTGCCAGAGATTCTACCCTTCTGGTAAATGAATCTTGTTAATCAATTAGCTGTTACTAAATTATTTATTGCCCAAATCATTCTCTTTGGAATGATACTCAATACACTCATACAGTATGCGCGTTTGCTAGAATGTAAAGTAATTACTTTGCATGCGAAATGTAGAGATATAAAAAGTTTACAGTGTTTGACTTGATTATTTCATGTAAGCTGTAAGACACTTCTAAAAAACCTTTGGCACGATACTATATAAAGTATATAACTTTGGGAGATGATATTAAAATAATGTGCACACTTTTTATAAAACATTGCCACGATTTTGCCTGCAACTTAAAAATAAATTATATATCTAACCAAATAATGTAATATATTCTATATGTAAGGTGATTACTTTCCTAAACTTTGCATGAAATTATTTAGAGTATAAAGATTTAATGTGTAAACTATCAAATGAGCTGAAATTGATATTATAGGGAGTACCAAATTAAGATACAAACCACTCTTGTAGATTGAGGTTCTCATATGGACTTTTTAAAGTCAAATCATTGCATTTTGACCATTAAGGATGTTTTCTTTTGGACTGAAATTTGCTGGTCTAGTCTGATCTGGTCTGGTAAACGTCTGATCTGCATTTTAACTACGGAAGCCAAGTGTGGTCTGGTTTGGTCTGGTCTAAGACTGAAAACAGTCCAAAAGAAAACATCCTAATTTTTGAACATACCATTGACTAATTGTTTCTTTCATTACACCGTTTTGCATATTTCAATTTGTTCAAGCAATGTGGCTATTGGCTAAGTGATATTATTGGCCGCTACCCGTCTATCACACTTTCCTCCTTTATCCTGGTTTTGGACAGACACAATATTAAAAATGATCTTATGACGGAGACAACGTACCATCTTTAGATTGTCCTAAAATAATCATTTTCTTTTAAAGAAATAATTGTATGGTCCTTGATATTGAATCTATTTTTCAGGTTCCTTATTAAAGTTTTAAAATAAAATTCCTTTATTTGTTTATTGTGTATGAGAATTAGACACAACCACTAAACTTTTTGTCCTGATGAAATATTTATTGTCACAAACAAATAAGCAATAACTTAAGTAATGTTTGCTCGTGGCAGAGAAAAACGTGTACTATCAAAATGTAGTAGTGGTCAACGGTGGTCTTTGACTAAAAAGTTAAGGTCAAAACAAGAAGCTTAATTCGACACTAATGGAGTTTCATGTAAAAGTATTGACTGCCCCGGTCAGTGCCCGGCCTCCTATCAAGATGTTTTTACGAGCTAACTTTTAAATAATATATACTCACTTGGTTATTATTGACTTATTGTTATTGGGGTCGTGTTTGGAACGTGCATGACAGAGTGGTGGACCGTATTGGGAAGTTCCCTTAGGAAGGAGAGATTCAAGAAGTGCGAGTTTGAGCGGTTCAAACAACAACATTCCCGCACCAAACAACACCTTCCAGACCATTCTCACCAAGTTCAATGCTCAGGGCCTTAATTTGGTCGATCTTGTAGCATTATCTGGTAATTCCGTTTCGAGTTATCTCAAAATAAGTGTAGCATTTTATTTTGGAAACAAATATGTGATTGCCAATATTTCTTTTTATTATACTCAAATTTCAGTTACAACTTTTAGTTTTTCAGTCACTTTAAATATAATTGTGTCAAATCAAAATATGATTAAACCATCACTTGTACCTTTTAAAAACAAATATTTGAAAAGGATCACTATCTTAACAATATTATTTCATAACTAAAGTCACAAGTACTAATAAGATAAAACTTGAATATCTAACATAGTCTAAATGCATAAGCCACATATAGGCAAAGAAATGTTCATTATTGTTATTATGAAACATTATTAACCCACTTGAAAGTTGAAACATTATTTCTTGGTGAACATGTTAGCATGAGTTCTGTATTTATTCACCTAAATCACACTTTTAGTCACTGAAATTGTCGCGAAAATGAAATGTCAGAACCGTATTTCTGAGATTGTAAATGTCGCTCCTCAATTGTCCAAATTGTTGTAAATGTGGTCTTTTAAGGGGTGAAATGTACTCTCGCCCACATTGTATATTTCACCCCTCACAGAATCACATTTACAGCATTTAGGACAACTGAGGGACGACATTTACAAACTTGGGAACACTGGTCTGACATTTCAATTTCGTGACTATTTCAGGGACTTAAAGTGCAATTTCCCGCTAAAAAATGGACCTCATTTGATGTACACCACAAATCACGCAAACATGCTCACTATAGAACATGTTTACGTGGTGTACATATTTTTCGCAATTCTTACTCTTGTTTATTTTTCTGGAATAATAAAGTAAAAACAAGTCGAATATATACAGAGAAGAGAGGAATAATAACAATGAGATTTTGAGTTTTGGGAAAATACGAAAATGAAAGTTGGTAAACTTACAAGTCACTTAAACAAATGATAATTTCTAAGGATGTTTTTAATTGAAATGTAATTTGCCGATTTGAACATGTCTGGTCAGGTAGTTTTGTTTTAGTATCTTATGACTGTCGAACTATGATACAGTCTGATTTGTTTATGTCTGCTTTGTCTCGACACTAAGTAAGAATGGTTTGGGGTTTGACAGGGAGTCACACAATAGGGAATTCAAGATGCACAAGCTTCAAACAAAGGCTATACAACCAATCCGGAAATGGGCTGCCGGACTCCACCTTGGACCCATCTTATGCTGCTCAGCTGCGCTCGAAGTGCCCCACCTCCGGCGGAGACAATAACCTCTTCTTCTTGGACTATGACAGTCCAACTAAGTTTGACAACTTCTACTTCAAGCACTTGTTGGAAAACAAAGGACTTCTCAACTCCGACCAAGTTCTGGCCACCCACAACAATGAAGCTTCTTGGCAGCTAGTCAAAGCTTACACAGAGAACAATGAGCTTTTCTTGATTCAGTTCGCCATATCAATGGTAAAGATGGGAAACATTTCTCCTTTGACTGGTTCAAATGGTGAAATCAGGAAGAACTGTAGGAAGATTAACTCCTAGTTACTAACAAAAATACCAAATATTCTGTCATGTATTATCATTCGTCTTTCCATTCCTCTGTCATGAATGAAGTTTGTTTGAATAAAAAATAACATATCCTACTTCCTAAAAATCCCTTTCCGTGTTGAAATAGGAAAAAAAACATGGACACATTAATTTAGTTTAGCCTAAGTAAAGTGGTAGCGCCTAATCGTAAGATATTACTATTGAGAGTAAGAGGAGGAAAATATTGAGACTCTAATGGAGAACAAAATATTTCATTCACTTCAGCACACTCATACAATGGAGGGATGAACTATTTATAGGATGAGTTCTCTTATCCAAGAGATCTAACAATTCATATTTTAGATCTTTCATATTCATAGGTAATAATTATTCATGTAGAATAAACAAAAAAAAATCATATTTCTAGGTTATTAATGAACCTAGAAACTTACAAGGAATATCAAAAGACTTTGAATTTACTTCTATCAAGTTTAATTTTAATTAATATCCAAAAATGCCTCCCTTAAAATAAATTTGCTTCTGATTCCCAGATTTTCATGCCTTCTCTTTGAAAACTTGTGCACTAAGCAGCTTTGTAAAAATGTCATTTTTTTAATCTTCGGTCTTGCAATACTCCACTTGAATTTACTTCATTCACAAGCTCCTTTAAAATGATATAGGATGAAAATATGTTCTGTCCTCCCATGAAGAACTGGATCCTTCGTAACTGAAATTGTTGAATTGTTGTCACAGAACAAAGTGGTTGACTTGTTCTGATTCTCCTTCAAACTTTTCAAAATTCCTCGTAATCAAACCAGTTGACGTCCAACATAAGATGCAGCGATATTTTCTACCTTCGTAGTTGAAAGTGCCACAATTGATTGTTTCTTCGCACTCCATGAGATCATGTCAGTGCCAAGATGGAATACATATCCAGGAGTGACTATCCGTCATCGGTTCGATTTACACTTTATTTTTAGGTTAAAAAACCAATCGAATCTAAATCGATAGACAGAAATCGACTAAAACATTGTTAAAACTTAAAACTGATCGGAACTGATACAAGTCGATCGACAACGGCTCAATTGTGTGGTCTAGTTCTAGATTTCACTTTTTCTAAAACTGACCAATTAAAAACCGAACAGAAGAGACCGACATCAAGGAAACCAAATGAAGAAAAACTCCTACTCCTCGCCTTATGGGTGTACGAGTGGTTATATTAAAATATCAATAGCTCATTTAATAAAATGATTATTTGGAACTGTAATTGTTGCCCATTTTGTGGGCTATGGGGCTGATAAAAATTACTACCCCTGTCTTAATTTGATAGTTCTTAATATATTCACTTAACATAAATTACTTTTAATCTATTACTCCCTCCGTCCCATTGGACTTTGCTAACTTTCCCTTTTAGGTTGTCCCAAAAAACTTTGTCACTTTCCTATTAAAGCAACTAATTTGTGGTTCTGCACATTTCTCTCTCATCTGCACAAATCTCGATTTTCCTATTAAAGCAACTAATTTTTGGTCCCCCGACTTTAGTGCCAGTAACACTTTTGGTACTCGACTTTCAATTTTTTCATTTTTAGTCCTCGACTATTGTGTGATAGATATTTTTAGTACTCGAATTTAAAGTTTTCCACATTTAGTCCCTAAGCATTACCAAAGTAACACTTTTATTCCTTTCATTATAATTTTGACACAATAAATGGAGGACTAAAAATGCCACTTTTATAATAGTTAAAGGTAGGCCTGGGACCGGTTCGGTTCTTACTAAAAAATGGTGGAACCGTTAATTAAAATTTTAACTAATGAAATCGGTTCGGTTCCTATATAAAAAATCAAGAACTTTTATGGAATCGAACCAATACTAAACGGTTCGGTTCTTGCTTTTATAGGTTCCTAGAATATTTTTTTTGTCTAAGAATTAACACAGTTTTGCTTTCCAAGCTACCACATAAAAACGTCAAAAATCTAAAACAAGTAGTAAAAATTTATTTATAGTTCTTATCGTTCCAAATATCAAACCTCAAACTTAAGTAAGTGAATACTTAATAAAATAAAAAGAAGATTTTAATTTTCATGTAATAGATAAAATATAAAAATCGTTGGTTTTGCCGTAGAAATGAAGGTTGTTCATCATTATAGTGGCAATAATAGAACACACACTTCAAGTTTCTCAAAACCTAGAAAATACATTGAGTTTGCATGTACATATATAAAAGCATCACTGCATTCTACTCGCTAGTAGCATAATTTATAATACATCTAATAATTTGAAATACCATGAAGATATTAAGGTAAAATGTATGCAACTACAAATTATTTGAGTTATTTTATAATTATAAAATTTTTGTGATGGAAGAAAACTTGATTTGTAAAAATGAGCTTAATGTATTTAATCTCATGTCCAAATATTTATTATTTCTAGTTTCGTTGATTAAATTAAAATTGTTGGCTAAATATCAATCATTTATTGTTATTGTTTTTGTGGTGGTTATTATTGTTATTTTTAATATTATTTTTATATTAGTATTGTTACTAATAATACTAATACTATTTTTTTTATTTTTATTATTCTTTTAATATCAGTTCATTAACGGTTCCGTGCATATATTTTTTTAGGAACCAAGAACTGAACCGTTAACACCAACTAGGATCCGAACCGTTAACAACTAATACACCATTTGTAGGAAGCGAACCGAATCGAGTTATAACGGTTCAGTTCCAACTGGTTCCACGGTTCCCGGTTCCAAAATGTCACCCCTAGTTAAAGGACCAAAAGTATCATCTTTGTGAAAGTCGGAGGACTAAATATGGAAATTTTCAAAGAAGGGGATCAAAAGTGTCTTTCGCACAATAATCGAAGGACTAAAAGTGGAAAAAATCAAAGTCAAGTACCAAAGTGTCAGTAACATAATAGTCGGAGGACTAAAAATGACAAAAGCTCTAATTTTTACTATTCTTATTCCTCACCTACTTTGCACATTACAAAGTCCAATTACTTTTATAGGGTGCGGTTCCGGTGAGAACATTCCTTAGCGTGAGAAATGAGAACGCTCCAAAACAATGTACTTTACCGTTCACGAAAATGCACATTTGTAGTTAGAGTAATGCAAAATCGTAATGTGCACATTTACGTTTAATCTTCTGCATAATTGAAATGCACATTTTCCAAATTTTCAAATGCACTTTTATGTTTTACATAATGCACGACACCGAAATCGACGCTCCAAAGAATCATTCTCATGGTGTTATGATATATGATCCTTACTCACTTTTATATATCCAACTTTTATCGTTGAGCTAGGAATGGAGGAGACTCAAAATCTAAAAAATGACCTCGACGGTCTATCTACTTTATCTCCCGTGATTTGTTCTCCTTGTCCCTACAAATGCCCCATATCTTCTTTGTCTGCCACGGGGTCCCCCACATCTGGCCCACACAAGAATTTTGCTACCACTGTTACACCTAAATTAGCCTTCTTCCATTACATCTATGGCAGTTCATAAATTGTACTCCTAAAACCCAAATCATAAATTTACCCCCACGCCCCTCTCCATCCCCGCCGTCATATATGCGTGTATATATCTAAACGAAGCCAGATATATAGAGACAAGAAAAGGGCATATTAGTCAAATGATGATGAGTACTCACAGGTAGATCGGGACCAGAAGAGAAACAATTCAAGAAATGGAGGATTTGAGGTGGGATTGGGGTGCCCAGAAATGCGCGGCGGCTATGGCGGCGGCAGTTGCCGGAGTTTTGCTGGTGATGGTGGTGCAGAGGAGGTGGTGGCGGGGGAGGAAGCCGGAAAAGGAGGGGACGGTTCCTAAAGGGAGTTCGGGTTGGCCGTTCTTAGGGGAAACTCTCGACTTCATAGCCAGCGGTTATACGTCCCGCCCCGTCTCCTTCATGGACAAACGCAAATCTCTGTGAGTGCTTGGATTCCTTCTCTTTGGTTTTGGACAAACTCTTAATCATACTCCGTAATTCTTACTCAAGTTCCTTATAATTTGTAAAAGTTTGATTGATATTAGAATTAATAAAGTAAAAATTATATAAATAAAATTTGTATAAAAGAGAATTAATTAAAATCCTTAAAAATGAATACTAGTAGAATTTATTGCACTTTTGGTTATACCAATTTGAGTTTTATTTCAATTCCACATTTAGTCCACTTTTAGTCATATGAATTTTATGTCTTTCATTTTGTCCACTTTTGATATTTGACTAATGATTTTTGATAAGTTGTGGTTCTTCTCTGGCGATTTTAATCACCAAAACCATTGCCGGAAGGATGATATAGGGGCGAAAACACAATAGTCATATATCAAAAGAGGACAAAATGAAAGACGTAGACTAAATGTCCGTAGAATCAACGTCAAATTTATCAAATGAACTAGTTTTTTTTACGCGCGTTGCGCGATTGGGTGAATGCCCAATGTGATATTTGTACAAATCATTTGCACCAAATACACGTTTCTTATGGGCGAACAAAGGTATGTATCAATGTAGTTTTGGAAGATCATTAGTAGCTTCGGTTCCTAGGCAAAGTAGATGAAACAACTCACAAAATTATTTAAGAAACTGGCATGGAAGCGAACCATTCTTTAACGGTTCGGTTCTTGTCATTTTACGGTTCCTAGTTTTTAAAAAATATATTAAAAAACACTGGTAAATTTGTGCCAAATAAAGTCATTCAATGTTGAAAACTATAATAAACATAAATATGTTTATCATCATTTCGAATCTCACAAGTTGAGTTTTAAACATAAGTACATACCGAACTGACAATTTAGTACATAAAACAAAACAAGATATTCACTACAATCAATAATTATTATCTTGAATCAACAATGTAAATTAGTAGAGACATAAAGTTTGTGAAGAGCAAAGCATCCAAAGGACCAATTCCAAATAGCAAACTTAATATAACAATAAATAAGTAAATATACATTAAAATATATGTAGTATATACTAATAAGTAATATATAAATTTTTAATTATTATTATATATATAATGGTTCCTTAAAAGTTTCAAGCACATACTTTTTTAAGGAATCGAGAACCAACTCTTAATAAGAAATAAGAATCGAACCATTAATAAATAACTAATAAATGTTGGAACCG